AGCAACCTTTTCCCTAACCCTAACACCCTTCCCAGCCCTAACCTGGACCTCTGTGCACTCGTGGACGGGTGGCCTCATCCTAACCCCCTGCCTAACCGTCACCCGGATCCCCGTGCAGTTGCGGACCCGGTCCCTAACCCTAACACCCGGATACCCGTGCGGTCACGGACCCGTTCCCTAACCCTAGCCCCCTAGCTAACCCTAACCCGGACCCCTGTGTGCTTGTGGACCCGTTCCTGAACCCGAAACCCCTGCCTAACCCTAACCTGCACCCCTGCGCACTCGTGGACCCGTTCCCTAACCCGAACCCCTGCCTCATCCTCACCCGTACTGCAGTGCACTCGCGCACCCGTTCCCTATCCCTAACCCTCTGCCTAACCCTAACCCGGACTCCTGTGCACTTGCCGACCAGTTCCTTAACCCTAACCCCCTGCTAACCCTAACCTGCACCCCTGTGCACTCGTTGACCCGTTCCCTAACCCTAACCCCCTGACTAACCCTAACCTGGACCCCTGTGCACTTGTGGACCCGTGGCCTCATCCTAACCCCGTGGCTAACCGTCACCCGGATACCCGTGCGGTCACGGACCCGTTCCCTAACCCTAGCCCCCTAGCTAACCCTAACCCGGACCCCTGTGTGCTTGTGGACCCGTTCCTGAACCCGAAACCCCTGCCTAACCCTAACCTGCACCCCTGCGTCCTCGTGGACCCGTGGCCTCATCCTAACCTCCTGCCTAACCGTAACCCGGATCCCCGTGCAGTTGTGGACCCGTTCCCTAACCCTAAACCCCTGCCTAACCCTAACCCGGACCAAAACCCCTGCCTAACCCTAATCTGCACCCCTGCGCACTCATGGACCCGTTCCCTAACCCGAACCCCTGCCTCATCCTCACCCGTACTGCAGTGCACTCGCGCACCCGTTCCCTATCCCTAGCTGTGCACTTGTCGACCCGTTCTTTAACCCTAACCCCCTGCTAACCCTAACCTGCGCCCCTGTGCACTCGTCCACCTGTTCCCTAACCCTAACCCCCTGACTAACCCTAACCCGGACCCCTGTGCACTTGTGCACCTCTTCCCTAACCCAAATACCCTTCCCAGCCCTAACCTGGACCCCTGTGCATTTGTGGACCCGTGGCCTCATCCTGGACCCGTGGCCTCATCCTAGCCCTGTGGCTAACCGTCACCCGGATCCCCGTGCAGTCGCGGACCCGTTCCCTAACCCTAGCCCCCCAGCTCACCCTAACCCGGACCCCTGTGCGCTTGTGGGCCCGTTCCTGAACCCGAAACCCCTGCCTAACCCTAACCTGCACCCCTGCGCACTCGTGCACCCGTGGCCTCATCCTAACCCCCTGCCTAAGCGT